AAACCTTGCCACACAAAACCAACACACACCTTGCCATATTTATTCTGCTATTACAGTTTTCACCTTGAATCTCAATTGCTGTGATTTCCTTCTCTTTGAATGTTAGTCCAAAATACTGCCACAGATGCCAGTAACCTGCTTGTTGTCTTGAAGTATGTCACCTGCCTGTAGACATCCCTTTGCTTTTGAGAACAATTTCATATTCTGTCCTACACTAATGCTTCTTATTCATTGCAAATAAGGCCCTGGGATGCCCTATCTAAGTTGCTGTAGAACCCTTTCCTAAGGCTCTGTGTGCCCAGACACGTTGACTTACATGCGTTGAAAGACCTAAAGCCAGCCAATGTGAAACAGCACAGGGGTATAAAAAGGGCTTACACGCTGCAAGCACAAACTTGAGAGGTCAGCCTACTCACTACTTGTTAACAAAATGTAAGGGGATCAGATAAGAGGAGTAAAAAGAACAAAACCTGTTTATTTGAAACTAGGAAGACACATAGTAAACTGTTACATTTAGGTTGTTTTACTTTGCTTTTCATTATCAGCATTCAGTATTCTGCTCTTACAAGATGGTGTTTATTTCTGACTCCAGTAACATTTCACAGGCATCGAAAAACTTTAAAAGAAGTATAGGGCTTGCCTAAGCCAAAAATATGTGCTAACACTTTGTCTGCTCAGACCTTGTTTCTGCGGCAGTTCCCAGCAGGAAGGCTGGAGGGCAGTGGAAGCTTGTTTTAAACTGAAAATAGCTGTTACACAGAGCTCTACAGCAAACTGCGATGTGGAGAGCAAGTGCAATGTTCTTGGAACAGGACAGATTTGCCTTTGTTAAAGGGTTGTGGTGAAGGATCAGTGCTTTAGGGTGATGCTGTATTACTTATATGGACTTCGAAAGATGCTTGCTGGACAAAATAATTTGCTGATGTCAAAACATATTTTATTTTTAAGAAAATATCCTAACCACCCCAAACCACTCACCAGTTTAAAGAGAGGGCCTTTCATTAAGGCTCAGATTTCAAAGTTCTGTCCTATAAAATGTATGTATGGGTCTATATTTGTGTGTGTATCTGTGTATATATCTGTGCATCTATATGCATTTGTATGTACATCTGTCTAGGTATATATGTGTGCACACATATAGATACATTTGTATGTACAACTGTGCAGGCAACTAAACACCACATAGCTGTTCACCCACTTGCCCCCCAGTGGGATGGGGGAGAGAATTGTGGGGAAAAAAAAAAGGTAACTTTTGCGGTTGAGACAAAACCAGTTTAATAGGACAGAAAAGGAAGGGAAAATAATAATAATAACAATGATAAAAGAATATACAAACCACGTGATACACAGCACAATTGCTCACCACCCCCCAGTCCCTGAGCAGTGACCCTGATCAACTCCCCCATTTTTTTTTTTTTTTTTTTTTTTTTTTTTTTTTTTTTCATTTGGTTTGGAATCTCCC